GAGGTACGTGCCCTTAGCGGGAACCGAACCCGGGTCTCTCAGTACCGCAGGCCGACGCTCCAACCGCTGCGCCAAACCGGCCAGGGCTTCACCATGAGATTTTTATAAAATTTACCATAACTCAGAGGATAGAACCTATTCCCTTAGCTATGGTCAGATATCCTTCAAAGTTCTAGCCCTGGCCGGTTTGGCTCAGCGGTTAGGGCGTCGGCCTGCGGTCTGGAGAGACCCGGGTTCGGTTCCCGCTAAGGGCACGTACCTCGGTTGCAGTTTGTCCCCGGCCCTGGTTGGTCGTGCGGGTGGCAGCCACTCGATGTGTTCCTTTCGCATCGATGTTTCTCTCTCTCTCTGTTCCTCTCTCTCCCTCCCACTCTACCTGAACAAAAAAATGGAAAAATGTCCTCGGGTGAGGATAAAAAACAAACAAACAAACAAAGTTCTAAAGTGGTGGAAGCCCGGGTTTTTCTGGTTTAAGTTTCAGTGGGTTCTGATTTCCTAGGATATGAAGTAAAGGTCAGGCAACTTCAGACTGAAGCTAGCTAGAGAATGAACCATGGATACCTCTAGTCCACTTTGATCTTGGGGAAAAAACTAAAAAGTAAACAGAATTCCAGGAGCCTGGAGAAGATGATAGCTGGGCAAATAATGTAGACATTCTCTTGATTCTTTTAGGCTACTTAATACAAGTTTCCTGGACCTTCTTTAAGACCAATTTCAAGATGCCTTCATAAGAAATCACCAACTGGTCCCTTAGAAATACTTCCCAACTGGAGGACTTCCAGTCAAGATGGTGGTGTAGGTAAACATGGTCTCACCTCCTCCCATAACAACATCAAAGTTACAACTAAACTACAGAACAACCATCATTCAAAACTGCCTGAAGTCAAGTTGAATGGAAGTCCTACAACTACGGAATTAAAGCAGCAGCCACATCAAGACTGGTAGGGGTGGAGGCGGATGGGCTGGTCCCACATCCACATGTGGCAGAAAAAAATTAGAAGGGTACCTCAGCTGGGAAGGTCCTCCCTGAGGACAAAGGGGTCTCTGTCCCACACCAGGCACCCAGCTCAGGGTTCCAGTGCCAGGAAGAGAAGTCTCCATAACTTCTGGCTGAAAAAACCAGTGGGAACTGAGGCTGAGGGAGGCTGAGGCAGCTGTAGCCCCAGGCAGCTCTTCTTAGCACAGATTTGTACAGACTTACTCGGACTCTCACCTTCCAGGATCCAGCATAGGGGAAGCAGCTTGAAAGGCACCAGAGACAAATGGGGAAGAATTGAGTTGTTTGGCATTGGAGCCAGGGCTGGAGAGGCGGCTTTCTCCTGGACAGAGTGCTATCAGCGGCCTTTGTTCCTCTGATGAGCCCTTCCCTGGGGCGGCAGACAACTGCCATATCTGGGACTCTAGCAACTTGGCTCACACTGGTTGCCCCACCCTGATGATTCCCTGAGGCTCTGCCCCACCCAACTTTCAGGCCCACCTAAGCTGTGGCCAGTTGCTTTACCATAGGATTGGCCTGTCTTGGATCCTGCTTCAGGTTTTCCTAAATTCCTTCAAACAAGTAAATCTGGTCTCAGCTAGCCCCACACCTCTCCTTAAGCAATACATAGAAACACAGGGAGGCAGCCAAAATAGGAGACAAAGAAAAAGGTTCCAAATGAAAGAACAGAACAAAACTCCAGGAAAACAACTAAGCAAAATGGAGATAAGCAGAGTTCAAAACCCTGTTATGAGGATGCTCAATGAACTGAGTGAGAACCTCAATGAACTTAGTGAGGGCCTCAAGAGCATGAAAAAGGACCAGTCAGAAATGAAGGATGCACAGTCAGAAATGAAGGAGGTACTAACTGAAATAAATAATAATTTACACAGGTTCAATAGTAGAGTAGGTAAAGCCAAGAAGCAAACCATCAGTTTGGAATATAAGGAGGCAAAAAAGAACCCAAAAAATGAGGATAGTGTAAGGAGCCTCTGGGACAACTTCAAGTGTACCAACATTCACATCTTGGGGGTGCCAGAAGAAGAGAGAGAACAAGAAATCGAAAACCTATTTGAGCCCTGGCCGGTTTGGCTCAGTGGTTAGAGCGTCCACCTGCGGTCCGGAGAGACCCAGGTTCGGTTCCCGCTAAGGGCACGTACCTCGGTTGCAGTTTGTCCCCAGCCCTGGTTGGTCGTGCGGGTGGCAGCCACTCGATGTGACATCGATGTTTCCCTCTCTCTCTTTCTTCTTCTCTCTCCCTCCCACTCTGTCTGTACAAAAAAAAATGGAAAAATGTCCTCGGATGAGGAATAAAAAAAAAAAAAAAAGAAAACCTATTTGAAACAATAATGGAAGAAAACTCCCCTAACTTGGTGAAGGAAACAGATATACAAGCTCAGGAAGCACAGAGAGTCCCAAACAAGATGAACCCCAAAAGGCCCACACCAAGACACATCATCATCAAAATGCAAAAGGTTCAAGACAGATAGAATCTTTAAAGCAGCAAGAGAAAAGCTGCTACAAGGGAGTTCCCATAAGACTGTCAGCTGATTTCTCAAAAGAAACCTTGCAGGCCAGAAAGGAGTAGGTAGAAATATTAAGAGTGATGAAGAGCAAGAACCTACAATCAAGATTACTCTATCCTGCAAAGCTGTCATTTAGAATCGATGGCCATATAAAGAGTTTCTTAGATGAGAAAAAGCTAAAGGAGTTCATCACCACCAAATGATTATTATATAAAGTGTTGAAGGGTTTTCTTGAAGAAAAAGATAAAAAACATGCACAAACAAAATGTCAATGAATACATGTCTATCGACAATTGAACCTACAAACAAAATAAACAGGCAGAACAGAAGCATTCTCATAGATACAGAGAACATTTTGTTGGTTGCCAGGTGTGTGTGTGGGGGGGTGGATGAAGGGATTAAGTACAAATTGGTTGTTAGACTGACAAAACTCAAAGGGAAGGAGGGGTGGGGAGTGGGGAGAGTTAAACCAAAGAACTTATATGTATATACGCATAACCAATGGACACAGACAACAGTGTGGGGAAAGGCAGGAGGGGGGCGAGACTGGGGAGGAGTGGGGTCAATAGGGGAAAAATGAGGAACATCTGTAATACATTCAACAATAAAGATAAATTAAAAAAAGAAAGAAAAAAGAAAAGAAACACCTCCCAACTGGGATGAGCAAAAGTTAAATATTTTATTTTTCTACAGAATTAACCAGAGGGTTACTATTAGCCTTAAACATTACTGCCTTGTAGTAGTCTCACAAACTGCCTAGCAGTTAAAAAAAATTTTTTTTCTTTACTGATTTTTAGAGAGAAGAAGAGATAGAAACATTGATGAGAGAGAGCATCGATTGGCCATCACCTGCATGCCCCCCAACTGGGGATCGGGTCCACAACCTGGGCATGTGCCCTGACCGGGAATCAAACCGGTGACCTCTTGGTGCATGGGTCGAAGCTCAACCAGTGAGCCACACCAACCAGCCTCTGTAAAAGGTTTTATTTATTATTGTTATTTTTTAATCCTCACCCAAGTACATTTTTTCCCCTTTTTGTTCAGATAGAGTGGGAGGGAGAGAGAGGAAGAGAGAGGGAGAGAAACATTGACCTGAAAAGGACACATCAAGTCGCTGCCTCCCACATGACCCCAACCAGGGCCAGAGATGAATGGCAACCGAGGTATGTGCCCTTGACCAGAATCGGATTTGCGACTCATTGGTCTACAGGCCTACACTCTAACTGCTGAGCCAAACCAGCCAGGGCTGTAAAAGGTTTTAAATTGGCAGCTAAGGCAAAAGTCCTCTTTGCTATAGAAGATGGGCAACATGGCCATGAGACTTGTCAGTGTAGCTCTTGAAGCAGTAACTAACAGATGTAATGCATGTCATTTTCCACAGACTGAGACTACTGTGATCCTAAGAAACATTTCCCAAGAACCCAAGTGAGCATACCACCTCCAAATGGTATAGTTTTTGAGAAATGCACCCCATTTGAAGAGCAAGTATGTATTATAGTTGGTGTTGGCTTCTTTTGATACTCTACACTCCCCATCTTTTCCCCCTAAACTTCTTTTTATTCTGGTAAAATACATATAATATAAAATTTACCATTTTAAAGTGTATAATTTAATGACATTTAGTAAATTCACAATGTTGTGCAACCATAATTACTATAAAAATTCCAGAACGTTCTCATCACCCTAAAAAGAAACCCCCTACTCCTTAGCTATCACTCCCTCTTCCCCTTTTCCATAGCCTCAGGCAACCACTAATTTACTTTCTGTCTTCAGAGACTGACTGGCCTATTCTGGACATTTCATATAAATGCAACCAAACAACATGTGGCTTTTTGTGACTGGTTTCTTTCCGACTGAATACAATGTTTTTTATTTATTTTTATTTTTTTAATTAATTAATTTTTGTTACAGATGTTTCTCCTTTTCCCCCCACTGATACCCCCCTACCCTCCCTCCCCGCCCTGTCCCCAGCTTTGTTGTCTGTGTCCATTGTTCATGCATACATGCATATAAGTTCTGTGGTTTATCTCTCCCCCCACACCCTCTTCTGGGGTTAGGGTTAGGCAAAACAAGCCAAGCAGAGAAAGACAAATATCACATGATCTCACTTATTTGTGGAATATAATGAACATAACAGTCTGAGAAGTGGGGTAGTCCCAGAGATGTGTAAGTGGGGTACAGACTGAATATAATGTTTTTCAGATGCATCCATGTTGTAAAATGTATCAGTACTTCATTCCTTTTTTTAATTGTGGTAAAATATACATAACAAGATTTATCATGTTAACCATTTTTAAGTATAAAGTTCAGTGGTATTAAATACATTCATACTGTTATGCAACCATCACCACCATCCATATTACAGCTCTTCTCATCTTGTAAAACTGAAACTCTACCCATTAAACAACAATCCCTCCACACCCTTTACCCCCTAGCCCTTGGCAACAACCATTCTACTTTTAATCCTTTGCTTTTACACCTGGATCCTTCATGCTAACCTGGATGTCCCGGGCCCGTTCATAGGACTGATATGCAATTTTCTCTTCCATGCTGGCCAATTCCTGCTTCAAGTTCAAGATTTCATTCTGGTGGAGCTCTGTTAGGTCATTCAGCTGTTCTTCTAATCGTTCACATCTAAAAAGAGGGAGAAAGTTAAAATTTTAGGCATTCCGTATTTTTCCTGGTATTATTCACATCCAATCCCCCAAATTCATTCTGCAAAGGAAGAAAATAAAAGCACAAAGATATTGAATGGCCTGGGGTAACAGGGTATCCCAGTAGGTACAGCATGTACCCTGGAATGGGCAGCTTATCACAATGCTGTATCATAGTGGCAACATAGCTCTTCTATATTCTTCTTCACACACGGTATTTGCAGTGATGCCAGCAGCTATGGTTAGCGTACCTATAATAAATTAGGCAGTTCTTATTCTGTTCTGAGCAGCATATGGGAGAGGCAAAGACTAGAGTACAATTAAGCAGGTATCATTAAAAGATAAACAGCACTGAGCATTGTCCCATGAACCAAGAGGTTGCTGGTTTGATTCCTGGTCAGGGATTATGTCCAGGTTGTGGGCTCGACCCTCAGTAGGGGGCAGGCAGGAGGCAGCCAACAGATGTTCTCCCATCTCTCTACTGCCTCTCTAAAAAAAAAAAAAAATCAATAAAAATATATTTAAAAAAAAGATAAAGTATGTCAGGTATGTTCAGAGTACTGGGAATGCAGTGGTAAGCAAGATAAAAACACTGCCCTCAAGAGTTTACATTCTAAAGTGGGAGGTTGGCCCTGGCCAGTTTGGCTAAGCGGTTAGAGCGTCGGCCTGCGGTCCGGAGAGACCCGGGTTCGGTTCCCGCTAAGGGCACGTACTTCGGTTGCAGTTTGTCCCCGGCCCTGGTTGGTCATGCGGGTGGCAGCCACTTGATGTGTCCCTTCACATCGATGTTCTCTCTCTCTCTCTCTCCTCTCTCTCCCTCCCACTCTATCTTTAAAAAAAAAAAAAAAAAAAAAAAAAAGGAAAAATATCCTCGGGTGAGGATTAAAAAAAAAATAAAGTGGGAGGTTGACGTCCTGGACAATTTGGCTCAGCGGTTAGAGCATTGGCCTGCGGTCCAGAACGACCCGGGTTCGGTTCCTGCTAAGGGCATGTACCTCGGTTGCGGTTTGTCCCTGGCCCTGGTTGGTCGTGCGGGTGGCAGCCACTTGATGTGTTCCTTTCACGTCAATGTTTCTCTCTTTCTCTCTTCCTCTCTCTCCTTCCCACTCTACCTGAACAAAAAATGGAAAAATGTCCTCGGGTGAGGATTAAAAAAAAAAAGTAATAAAGTGGGAGGTTGAGGAGATGAAGAAGAGGAAGAAAAACCAAGATATCTGTAGATAGGAGTAAGTAAACCAAATGCAATCACTAAGGGTATACAGCAGAGTGCCTGGCAGTTGGTTAAGCTGGAATGGTCAGGAAAGGCCTCTTCCCTGTTAAACACTCTTTAACAATGAGAGCTGAAAGTTGAATGATGATATGAAAAAGTGCTGTGAAGATTGGGGGTAGGGGTGCAGGGAGTTGAGGGGTAGGGAAGGATTCTTAAAGCAGAAGGAATAGCAAGTATAAAGTTCTCAAGAGGGCCTGGTTGGAGTGGCTCAATGGTTGAGCATTGACCCATGCACCAAAAGGTCGCAGGTTTAATTCCAGTCAGGGCACATGCCCAGGTTGTGGGCCCAATCCTCGGGGGGGGGGGGGCATGCAGGAGGTGGCCCATCATTGTTCTCTCTCATCCATGTTTCTATCTCTCTCTCTCTCAAAAATCAATAAAGAAAAAATATTTAAATGAATGAATGAATGAATGAATGAAGTTCTCAAGATGGGAACCAAGCCTGAAGGACAGAACATAGGCCTGTGTGACTATAGCCAAGTAAAAATGAGAAAAAAATGAAGGGAGATTAGATTCTTTGGGAGTAAGGATGATTTTAATTCACCTTGTATCTCTAGCACTTACGACTACATACAAGAATGTTTATTCTACATGAAGATGAAACCTGGGTATGGCATCTAAGGTCCAATAGAACTCAAACAGGTTTAAATAATAAGATTAGACATTCCAGGTAGAAAAAACATGGGCAAATGACAAGAGGCAGAAATGTATTAGGATATTTGGAATAGTAGAATCTATGTTGGAGGAAAAAAGGTAAACTTGGTCTTAAAAGGTAGGCATGTGAGTGGGGATTCTGGAATAGACAGTAGATAGGTCCAAAACATTGCTGAGGGTGGGAGAGGGTGACATAATGAACACAGTGTTTTATTTATTTATTTATTTTTTATTGATTTTAGAGAGAGAGAGAGAGAAAGGGGAGGAAGAGAAAGAGAGAAACATCGATCAGGGAGAACATCAATTGGCCACCTCCTGCATGCCTCCAGCTGGGAATTGGGTCCACAACCTGGGCATGTGCCCCGATTGGGAATTGAACCGGTGACCTCTTGATGTATGGGTTGATGCTCAACCACTGAGCAACACCGGCTGGGCGAAAACAGTGTTTTAGGAAATAGGTTATATGGTAGAGGTGAGGAAGACAGACTGGGGTAGGTTGTGTGTGGAGTCCCAAGAATCAAAGCGCTACGTAGGTAGGAGAAAGGTTGAAGACTACACATTTTAAAAGACTAGAAAGGAAAGAATAAACACAGCTCCAACTTATGGTGAATAAAATGGAAGCCTCTCTGTCAGACAGAGGGCTCATCCCAACAGGAGAATATACTACCACTGAGCACTACTCAGTCAAGCACACACCTAACACACTAGCATGTGAGCCTCAGAGGACTCTGTATTAAAAATATAAAATTGCCAGAACAAACTCAAACATTTACAACTACCTCCCCTTCCCTCCTTAAAAAACATTTTTTTTTTTTTGTTAATCCTCACCTGATGATATTCTTTCTATTGATTTTTTTAGAGAGTGGAAGGGAGGGGGGAGGGGGTAGAGAGAGAAAGAGAGAGATTGAAGTGAGAGAAACACATTGATCAGCTGCCTCCTCAAGTGACCTGACTGGGGCAGTGATCTAACCTGCAACCCAGGCACGTGCCCTCAACCGGAAATCGAACCCACGACCCTTTGGTGCATGGGCCAATGCTCCAACCACTGAGCCACACCATTGAGGCATCACCAATATTTTCCCTTCTAATAGTTATATGATAAATAATTACATCTTAGACTTCATTCCTTTTCTAAGAAACAAGGATTTTTTTAAAAGGCATAGTCTGAATCCTATTTAGACTGAATCCTATTTAGTTTTCCTTTATACTTGATAGGAATCTGTACTGTTTCTTTTCATGCTACAGTTCTGTTAAGAGACTGAACAGAGTATTCAAAAAGCATTTCCACCTTTTGACTATAACTATGGCCAATATTTTCTGTGACTCTGCCTTTTCACTTTATCTTCTGCCCAGGGCATGTGTTCGAAAACAGGTGCCGCCTCTAGAATTGATTTTGTACCACTTTTTTCTTTAAATCCTCACCTGAGGATATTTTTCCATTTTTATTTTTTCAGATAGAGTGAGAGGGAGGGAGGGAGGGAGGGAGAGGGAGGGAGGGAGGGAGGGGGGGAGAGAGAAAGAGAGAGAGAGAAACATGGATGTGAGAGAGGCACATCAATTGGTTGCCTCCCGCATGTCCCCAACCAGGGCTGGGGACCAAATCGCAACTGAGGTATGTGCCCCTTGACCAGAATCAAACCTGCAACTCTTCAGTCTGCGGACCGACACTTTAACCACTGAGCCAAACTGGCCAGGGCTGTACCAAATTTTAAGTTAACCAAGTGTCATAAAATTAACATATTACCTTTTTATAAAATTAAGCCCAGTTTTATGGTATTTTTATTGTTTGATGATTTTCATCATTCTCTCTTCTCACCAGAGAGGGGCTTTTTAAAATGGGTGTTCCAGGCCCTGGCCAGTTTGGCTCAGCAGTTGGAGTGTTGGCCTGCGGACCAGAGAGTCCTGGGTTCGGTTCCCACTGGAGGCACATACCAAAATAAAAAGGGAGAATAAAATGAGTATTCCAATGTGTCAGTCCTTTGTGATTTAAGAGAAAGACTGGGCACATATCAGAAAATAACTCTCCTACGCTAAGGATTAATGTTGGTGGCAGGGAGGGGAGCATGGTGGTAGCAACCATCCTGCATGCTGATAAAAGCAGACCCATGTGACATCTTTGGCATGTTCCATAGACTACTGCCCCACCCTCTTGGCCCACAAATTGCAGTCTTTCAGGAATGTTAGGGAATCTTCATTTGATAATTAACATGGCTCACATGTACCATTAGAAGAGATTAAAAAGTAATAGCAGCAGCAGTAGCAGAGCTACCATTTACACAGTGCTTTCTATGCAAATTCATTTCCATAACACCAAGAAGGTAGTAGGTATTATCTTCGCTTTACAGATAAGGTAAAGTGACTTGCCCAAGGCACAAAGAAATTAAGTAGGGGAGCAAGGATTTGAAACCAGGTTTGTTTGACTTTAAAACCCAAGTTTTTAACCGCTGCACTGTGTTGCCACTTTGAAACTACTCAAGAAGCCCAGATATGCTAACTCTCTTTATAAGTAAGAAATCTGATCCAAATCACACAGCTACGGGAGATGGACAATATTGCACTGACATGACGGTTTACAGCTTGATGGCAAGGTAGAGTCAATGGGAGGAAGGGTGTAATAAAAAGATCATAAATCTAGAATAAAAAAGAAGATAATAAGTGTTGGTGAGGTATGGAGAAATTTGAACCCTTATGTATTGTTGGTGGAAATGTAACATGGTGCAATTGCTTTGGAAAACAGTTTGACAGTTCCTCAAAGAGCTAAACTTCTGACCCAGAAATTCTACTCCAGGTATACACCAAAGAGAAATAAAAACTTATTTCCATGCAAAAGCTTATACATGAATGTTTATAGCAGCACTGTTCATAATGGCCAAAAAGTGGAAACAACCTAATGTCTATCAACTGATGGATGAATAAATAAAATGTGGTTTATTCATAACATAAATTATTATTTGGAAAGAAAAAGAAATGAACCCTAGCCAAGCAGCTCAGTTGGTTAGAGCATTGTCCCAATATGCCAAGGTTGAGGGTTAGATTCCTGTTCAGGGCACATACAA